GAAGTGGAGTGTCCTCAGCTCCCTCAGAGTCCTCTGCACTGAATACTGTAACCCCCTTTACGGGACCCACAGCGCGGAGTTCTGGGCGCTCTTGGGCGCTCCTGGGCGCTCTCGGGCCCTCTCGGCCGCTACCAGGGCCTCTCCCTTGTGTTGTCATGTGACTTCTCCGGAGGCAAGGGGGCCCTAACACGGGCCAAGAGGGCCTCGAGAGGCCCCAGAGACGGTCCAAGAGGTCTCCGAGACGCCCAAAGAGCCATCCAAGACGCCCAAGGTGGCCCGAAGACAGCCCAGGAGGACCCCATGAGGCCAAAATCAATTATATTCCGTCGGTGTTTGAAAAATGTTCGGGTTCCCTCCTTTTCAGGCGCCCGACGCTTCAATACGGCCCAAGAGGCCCCCAAGATCGCCCCAAGATGGCCCAAGAGGCCACCAAGAGGGAGAAAGACAGTCCAAGAGAGCCTCGAGACGCCCCCCAGGACGGCCCCAAGAGGCGCCTCAGAGCGGCCCCAGAGCGGGAACTCGAGCTGACGTTTCGAGCCCTCCGCCCGAAGATGACCTCCGAGACCGCCCGCAAGCCCCTGTCGAGGCCCCCGTGAAGACCCAAAGGCCACCAAAAGAAGAAAAAAAGGTCCCACGAGGCCCCCAAGAGGCCCCTGCGAGGCCCCAAGACACCCCAAAACCGCCTCCAAGAGGCTTCCGAGAGGCCTCCCGAGAGATCCCCTGCAAGCATCCGCGAGGCATCTGACCTACAACCAAGGCACAGTGGCGGGAAGGGCCGAAGGCCACTAGATAACGTGCAGCGAAAACAAGCGAATCAAAGGGTTCCTAAGCAGTCACATCACAAAACAAGGCCCAACGGCGGATCAAAGGCACCCGCCTCTGCAGCTGAGCGGCAATCACCGCATCTGTCCTCGCCTTCCGGCGAATTCGTGGGGAAATGCAAGGAAGGATAACCCTCGAGGTACAGCGACTGCCCCCCGTCCGACACGACGTCCTCCGATTCGATGATGGAAGCGTAGGCGTCCCCGACTGCGAACTCGTAATCGCAGAGGCTCGAGGTGTTTTCCCGGCCCACCGCGCTGGGTTGTCCAGCCTCCTCCGCCACCAGCGCCTTGAGCTCGTCGATCCTCTGGACCTCTGCGTTGATCTGCGTCTCGAACTTCAGCTTGGCCTCGAAGTAGGGCTTGCACAAAGAGATTGGGCACCGAAAGTTGCAGAGACGGTGGTCGTGGTGCAGCTTGGCATACAGCGCCTTGGACCTGTCCAAGGCCTTCGAGCACCGATGGCACTCCTCTCGGGCGAGCTCCCTCTGGTTTTCCAGCTCCGCCGAACGATCGACCGCGCGGGTGAGCTTGGAGCAGGCGATGCTGTAGACGTCCGCGGGCAGCTGGGGATGCGGCGGAGCTGCCTCGTCCTCGCTCACCAGCAGGGCCGACAGCGTGCTCTTCGCGGCGAGCACGGCCAGCGAGGAGTCCTCGAACTCCGAGTCCAGCTCCAGGTAGCGTTCCTCCGCCTTCTGCAGCAGCTCCTCTGCTGGAATCGGTCGGTATCGGATCGGGAAACCCGATCGATCGGAATTTGCGGCGGGTCGGGCTGCGTCGGCACGGTGCCGGAATCGAATCGGATCGGATCAATGCGAGCATGGGGCCGCATCGGAGCCGCCAGAACATCGGAGTCGAATCGGAAAAAACTGGCCAAAATCGATGCGGAATCGGATCAATCGGATTGGAATTGACCCTGCCTTGCCGGTCTTGAGGAAGTGCAGCACCTCTAGAGGCCTCCTGGATGGGGTCCTAGCAGATGTGGTCGGAGGATTGTACCACACCGCCGAGGAGTCGCCGATGCATCGGCGATGCATCGGCGATGCATCGGCGGCGTCGACGACGCATAGACGACGTCGGCGTGGAGAAAATCGGCGACTCCACATCGAGCTGCATCGCCGACGTGTCGGCGATGCGCCGGCGATGGGGCACGATCATCCGACCTCATCATCTACTCCGACCCCATCTGGGAGGCGTAAAACTCGAATCGTTGAAAAATACGTGAAATCTCCGTTGGTCTACAAACATTCTACCCTTTTGTTGGAAGATTCGGCAAACATCTCCGTTTCGGGGTAGAGCCATTATGCAGTCGATCTCCTACTCGAAGAAGCCGACAACCAGCCCAGGAGGGAAGCGAGAAGGGGCGGGTCTTCTCAAAGGCTTGGAAGTCCCCTGGCCTTCTGAGAGGTCTCCTGAGCCTTCCCCGAAGGCACAGAAGACCTCGCAGAAGGCCAGAGGGCCTCTGAGAAGTTCCGCTGCCTTCTGAAAGGCCTTCTCCTTCTCAAGGAGGAAGAAGAATTATAGTATGTATATACATATATATATATATATATATATATATATATTGATTATCAATAAAGCAAAGAACCAAACAAAACACAAAAAACAAAAAAAAACAAAAAAACAAAAAAAAAAAAAAAAAAAAAAAAAAAAAAACAAACAACAAAAAACAAAACAAAAACAAAAAAAAAAAAAAAAAAAAAAAAAAAAAAACGCCGTAAACATAAACTTTTGGCGCTCTGCGCGGATTCCTTGAATCTGCGCTGGACCCCCCTCCCTGGCGCGCGGAGCGCGCCGCCTGGGGCGGCGCCAGAGGCGCCCCAGTGCGGATCCAAGAAATCCGCGAAGAGCGCCAAGAGTTTATGTTCACGGTGTTTTCTCTTCTTCGATTCTCACTTCCCCCCCTCGCTCGCCGCCGATAGAACCTCGTAGTACGGCGGGTCATAACTCGGGTCTCCAGCGGCCGTCCGGGACGATCCGGGCACCCCGAACGCTCTCGGCGAGGCGCAGCCGCTGGAAGGCACCCCGAGGCTGGGAAACCGCCGAGAACCGACGAGAACTCCCGAAAACCTCGTGCCTCGAACCGGAAAGATCCCCCCCCCCTCGCTCGCCGCCGATAGCACCTCGTAGTAGGGCGCCGCGCGCTCGATCGTCTTCAGGCCCAGCTCCCGCTCGAGGCGGATGGCCTCCACCACCCAGGCCTGCAGGCTCCTCGCCCCCGGCGCGCCAAGAACGAGGGGGCGCGTGCCCAGGGGGGGGGGGGCTCGCTCCTCCTCCTCCTCCTCCTCCTCCTCCTCCTCCTCCTCCTCCTCTTCCTCCTCCTCCTCCTCCTCCTCCTCTCCTCCTCTCTCCTCCTCCTCCTCTTCCTCCTTCTCCTCCTCCTCCTCCTCCTCCTCCTCCTCCTCCTCCTCCTCCTCCTAATCTTCCTCCTCCTCCTCCTCCTGGAGGAGGGTTCAGCATCCTACTGGACGTTGTAATGCGCTACGCGCTGGTCTTGGGAGGGAGTTGGTGGACATTCACGGGCAGGCCCAGGAGGACGTCTCTAAGTGGGGCAAGGTGGTGGAGGAGTACTGTAGGCACAAGTACACGGACCCTGACGAGATCCCAGAGGCCAAGCTTGAAAGAGTTCAGGTTCTTTGGGAACGAGGTGGCCAACGTGCTGCTGCTGACTATGGGATACACCACGTTCTGCAGGCTAGGAGCAGGCTCAGCACTGGCAAAGCAGGGGGAAGTGGCGGCGTTCTCTCAGAAATGATCTTGGCCTTGGGCTCCGAGGTGGTTTTCGAGGTTTACGAGCTGTTTGCGTCTCGCCTTTGTTCTGGGGGCGGCACCGTGGAAGCCTGGAAATCCACCGTCATGACCATTCTGGCCAAAGAACCTGTGGCCCGAGATATCGCTGAGCACTTCCGTGGTATATACCTCTTGTCTGCGACTCTGAAGTGGTACGTGACCTCCCTGACGCTGCTGATGCAGGCACAGGAGAAACTACCGATAATACAGTGCGGGCGCGGCCGCAAGAAACCCTCGCAAGAAAGCCGACCCTGAAAACCCGCGCGCGAAGTGCACAGGAGGGGAAACCTGGAGCACCCTGAACGCAGCAGCTCCTTCAACGGCCGCGGGAAGTCGCCGCGCAACGCGCGGAGCGAAGAAACCCAGGATACCCTGACGAAAAGTATATGGATTCTTGATGCGCGCCCACACTGTACGACAGCCATGCATCATGGGCTTCGAGCCGCACATATCGTGCAGCCAGGTGATCGGTCCGATCTCGATCCTTCCTGCAGAGCGCCACGCGTGGCATCGCCGGTGCCTCTTCGCGCTCTGCCTGGGAGACGGCTTCCAGGCTGTCGGCAATCTGCGCGGCGGGGAAGGTGCCCACTGCAGGACTCTGCGCAGTACTCTTCGGGACCCGGGGGCCGCACTTCTGAGGGAGAGCGTCGACTGTCATCTGGAGGCGGCGTTTGAGGGGATGCCGATGCGACATGCGAATTCCACTGGGGTCCCATTCAAAAAATGTGCGAAAGGCAGGGCTCCACGGAAGCCCCGTTGAAGTGGAATCTGGTTCTGGGAGAGATCGTAAGGGAAGCTCGTGCGCACTTTAGGGAAAGCGACTTGGGGGTTGGGGGGGGGGCGGGTTCCATCTGTGTCTTCTCGATGTTCCCCGACCCCCCCCCACAACTGGAAATGCATGGCAAATCGAGACCTTCGGGTTGGGTTGGGGTGGTTTGGTGGGTGGTGAGGTAGGCCCGGCCCAGCGTCGGTGTGGGTGCACAGCTGGTGCCCTCCAGCAGAAGGGGGCACTGCCTAGCAGCAGATGCCGCCCAGCGCCAACAGCAGTGGCCGCTGCCGGGCCGGCGGCCCACGGGACACTTCTTGGTCGGCGGGTCGAGAGCGGGCCTCTTCCGGTTAAGAACTAGGCGGGGCGCGCGAAGCACTGATTGGGGAAACAGGGCGCGGGCGGGCGGGGCCTCGCGGCCCACGGGAGACGCTCCCCCCGCGGGGCCCGCACGCGCACCCCGCGCGCGCCGCGCAGGGCCGAGCCCGGGCCTCCTCCGGGCGCGGCCTGGCCGCCAGGGTCGGCGCCGGCGCCGGGCACCGCGAGGGGCTCCCCGAACCGTGCCGCGCGGCCCCCGCGTCTTGTCCACGCTTCCCAAGGAGGAGGAGGAGGAGGAGGAGGAGGAGGAGGAGGAGGAGGAGGAGGCAGGATGCGGGCGCGCAGAGTACACGCCACCACCACCACCTTCAGCCCCCCTCCCCGCCTTCGGCCTCTTCTTCCATTACTCTCGTCCAGCGCAGCTGCGGAGCAGAGGGGAAAGGGGAGGGGGTCCAGGGGGAGGCAGCGCCGAGAGCGGTCTTTCAAACGTGGCGCGTCCAGGGTTCCGCTTGGCACCATCCAGCCCGTCTGGACCAAGACGCAGAGGTCCGTCGTGCGGGCGCGAAGAATATACGCCACCACCACCACCACCACCTTCAGCCCCCCTCCCCTCCTCCAGCCTCTTCTTCCTCTCCTCTCTGCTGGGAGAGAACGGGGGTGAGGGAGGCGGTGATGGTGTATACTCTTGGGCCCCAGGCTGTCGTGTGGTCCCCTCTGTGGACGCCCGAAGGTGGTGCGGAGAAAGTGGAGGCGATGCCCAACAACAAGCGTTGTCCAAAACCGACAGCAGCCGCTTTTGGGCAGGCGGCACTCTGTCTCAAAAGGGCAACGGCAGCGGCGACGCCGACAGCGAGTCCTAATCAAAATGGGCAGGAACTGCTGTTAATCTCCGCACCCGTTCTTCCTGTATCCATGTCGCTCCTCCAGACCCTCACGCTTCCCAGGAAGCGCTGGAAGCCCGAAAGACATGGACTGCCGCAGTGGGAGATAGGATCCTGGTTACCTTTGCCGTGGGCCACGCAAGGGCGCAAGATATCCTCCTCCGCCTCGTCATCCCACTTCTCCTCATCATTATATTTATCCTCCTCCTCCTCCTCCTCCTCCTCCTCCTCCTCCTCCTCCTCCTCCTCCTCCTCCTCCTCCTCCTCCTCCTCCCATCTCCTGAACCTCTCCCTGACACACTTCCTCCTCCTCCTTCTGAGGAAACCAGAAATTACTGATACTGCTACTCCCTGGACCTCTCCAGGGGTACGTTCCGACCAGCATCTCGAGACGAATCCAGCTGTGGCGACGAGGGCCCCCCAGGAGCCCCGAAGAGGCGGCGAGAAACCGAGGCAGGGGCATAGCTTTATCGCTACTCTTGTGTGTTCCTCCTCTGACCTCCTGCCCAGCCCGTCCTCTGGCGGCGCGCACAAGGGGGCAGGGGGAAGGTGGAAAGCTTCTTAGAGGGAGGCTGCTTCTCAGAAGGCGCCGGCCTTACATCTACAGACAACGCCCGCGTCGTCTAGTAGGCAGGCTGCTGTGCCCCCGGCTCGGTTTCCCGCCCCTTCGGGGCTCCTGAGAGGCGCTCGTCGCCATCGCTGGCTTCGCCTCGAGATGCTCGTCAGAATGTGCCCCAGGAGAGGTCTGGGGAGTAGCGGTGTCGGTACCACTTGGTATCCCCAGGAGGAGGAGGAAGTGTCTCAGGGAAAGGAGAAGGAGATGAAAAAAAGGAGGAGTATTGGCGGCGCGCACAAGGGGGTAGGGGGAGGGGGGAGAGCTTCTTAGAAGGAGGCTGCTCCTTAGAAGGCACAGGCCCTACATCTGCAGACAACGCCCGCGCCTTCTAAGAAGCAGGGGTGCTTCTAAGAAGGCTTCCCCCATCCCCTACCCCCTTTTGCGCGTGACCGAAAGTAGGAGCAGGAGGAGGAGGAGAACGCTGCGAGCATCGATACTTAGAGTCTGGCCAACGTCAAGACGGGAGCAGGAGGAGCAGGAGAAGGAGGAGCAGGACGAAGAGGAGGAGGAGGAGAACGCTGCGAGCATCGACGCTTAGTCTGGCCAGCGTCAAAAAAAACAAGGAGCAGGACAAGCAGGAGGAGGAGGAGCAGGACGAGGAGGATGAGGAGGAGGAGGACGAGAAGGGGGACGAGGAGGAGGAGGAGGAGGAGGAGGAGTGGCGGAGTCCTTTGGTGCGCCTCCTGCACGGCCGCCAGGGCGGCGTTCAGCGAGCCCGCGGCGCCGGCCGCGGGGCCCACCACCGGGGCGCTGGCGGGCTCGCCCGCCGGCACCACGTCGCAGCCACCGGGCGCCGGCAAGCCGCCAGGTGCGGTCTCCTCGAGCGCGGCCACGTCGTCGGCGTCGGCGTCGGCGTCATCGTTGTCGGCGTCGGCGTCGGCGTCGGTGTCGGCGTCAGCGCGGCGGCGGCGGCGGCGGCGTCGGCGGCGTCGGCGTCGGCGTCGGCGTCGGCGTCGTCGTCGTCGTCGTCGGCGGCGGCGGCGGCGGCGTCGTCGTCGGCGTCGGCGTCGGCGTCGGCGACGGCGTCGGCGTCGGCGTCGGCGTCGGCGTCGGCGTCGGCGTCGGGGTCGTCGGCGGCGGCGTCGGCGTCGGGGTCGGCGGCGGGGGCGTCGTCGGCGGCGTCGGCGTCGCGTCGGCGTCGGCGGCGGCGGCGGCGGCGGCGGCGGCGCGCCCTCCTCGGCCGCGGCGCCCGCCGGCGGGGCCGCGGGGGCGGCGTGGGGTTCGGCCACGGTGCTGTCTGCGGCGAAAGACGCGATCAGCTCGTGGTGCGAGGTCCGCCTGACCTCCGCGCGTATGGCGGGGTCGCTCCTGGGAAGAGAATCGGGGGGGGGCGGGGGGGGGAAATGAGAAGGATAAGACCTTGTCAGAAGGCGGCGGGACTTCTCAGAAGCCCTCGCGCCTTTTGAGAAGTTTGTTGCGTCTTCGGGCAAGGCTTAGAAAACTTCTCAGAAGGCCGGGGGACTTCTGAGACTTCTGCGAAGGCCCGCCCCTCCTCACGCCCCCCCCCCCCTCGCTCGCCGCCGAATAAAGACGTACAGTCAAACCGTATGATAAGGATGCACGGTAAGGATGCAAGGGCCCTGGAAGACCATGTCGACGTTTTTCGAAAGAGGCTGGCCAGCGAGAGTCGCTGAGGATGGGCCGAAAGGGCAAGGATGCAGCGGTAGCCTTGGAATAATGCGCATCCTTACTATGCGGGTCGACTGTATCAGCGAGCGCGAGCGCGCCCTAAGCGGTCGGGGACTGGCCCCAGTTCAGGGGATGGCGGTAGGCTGCGAGCAGGCGGGCGGGTCCGACTACGCAGCACGATGCGAGCTACGAAAAGCGACGGGTCGTGCGCGAGACGGCATTGCGACCTTGCGCGGTTGCTTGCGCAGGCCGCCAGCGCGGGACGCTACATTGGAAACGAGAGCGCCTACGCGGGAGCTCACGCGGGCAGCCTACGCGCGAATGTCGGCGCAATCGACCCCATCTTCTTCGGCCGCCCGTGTGCCTCGGCTGGAGACGCACCTCCGACCCGAACATGTAGTACTACAAAAATCTTGTATTCGGCGGTGGAAACCTCCCGTCAGTAAACCTCCCCTTAGTGAAGACGGCCTGGGACCGAAACCCGCTGGACCTGGACCCGCAAGAATGACGGCCGCGACGCCCTCTCGCGAACCGAAAACGGCCAATTCCTTCATCGACGCGTCAGGGTAGGAGGTCATTCCACCTCCGAAAGGACCAGCATCCCAAACCTCCCTCCTACTCGATCCGCGATCCTCGATCCTCCCTCCCTCCTCGATCCTCGCTCCTCGAACCTCCGTCCATGACCTCCTCGATCCTCGATCCTCCTCCTCATCCTCCTCCTCCTCCTCCTCCTCCTCCTCCTCCTCCTCCTCCTCCTCCTCCTCCTCATCATCATCATCATCATCATCATCATCATCATCATCATCATCATCATCATCATCATCATCATCATCATCATCATCATCATCATCATCATCATCATCATCATCATCATCATCATCATCATCATCATCATCATCATCATCATCATCATCATCATCAATCATCATCATCATCATCATCATCATCATCATCATCATCATCATCATCATCATCATCATCATCATCATCATCATCATCATCATCATCATCATCATCATCATCATATCATCATCCTCCTCCTCCTCCTCCTCCTCCTCCTCCTCCTCCTCCTCCTCCCCCTCCTCCTCCTCCTCCTCCTCCTCCTCCTCCTCCTCCTCCTCCTCTGTCCCCCTCGGGCCCCGGGGCCCGGGTCCCGGAGGTCCGTGGGGTCCCGGTGGCCCTCTGGCCCTTGAGGGCCCCGGTCCCTCTCTCTCGACCTCCCCTCCCCCGCTCTTCGGGTTTAGCCATGGGTTAGGGCTCGGACTCCTTCCGTAGCCCTTTGGGCTTAGGCTGCGCGCCTGGTGCTTTGTAAAACGTATCCTCCCCCCTTCGCCCCCTTTCCACACTTCGCGCCGTGCTCTCAGCTTGGGACAATGGTAAGCGGAGCCACTGGTGAGGGGCAAGAGGGGGAGGACGATGCGGGCGCCGGCCGACAGCATGGCCAGACGCAGACAACGCCGACGGATCCCTGGGCCGGATCAGTTCCGGAGACCACGCGCCCTGCAGCCGGGGCCGCGACCTCAGCTGGCGCCCAGGACTCCTGGTGGCGCCAGACATGGGGCAGCGCGTGGTCAGGGTGGAGCTCGACGGCGGGCTCGTGGCAGTGGGTGCCAGCTCAGCCAGCGGCGGCGGACACGGCCGCGGCTGGCGTGGCGCCCACAGGTGCAGCGGCGGTGGCGACGGAGCAGGAAGGGCAGAGCGACTCGAGCCAGTGGGGTGGCTGGTGGAGTGGCTCTTGGGATCGCCCGAACCGTGACTTCGGCGCTCCGCCGACCTGGCTCAACTATGAGCATCTCGATCTCTACAAGGGCAATCTACGTGCATGGGCGAAGAGGACCGGGTACGCTGCGGAGGTTCAGGCAGCCAAAGTTCTGGAGACTCTTCCCGTCGAGATCCAAAGCAAGTTCAAGCTGGTGAGATCGACCTTAGACGTACGCGACGGTGTGGAGAAGCTGTTGGACCACTTGGCGATACTCAACGGGGAGCGCCCAGGCGACAAGGAAAGGGAGGCACAGAACGAGGCGCTCTTCGACTACAGCATCCGCCGGGGCGAGAGCTTGACGGATTACGTCCTCAGGAGGGACGCCCAGATCTCGACGGCGGAGACCTTCGGACTGAAGCTTCCCGACGGAGTTCTCGCACGATACCTGGAGGAGGGCGCCAATCTCAGTCAACAAAATAAAATTAACTTGAGGACGCTGGCGGGAGGCGACAAGTCGTTCCAGGCTATTAGACAGGCTCTTTTGTTGCTGGATGTGCGCGAGCGCAGCGTGCTCCCAGGATCGACCTCTACGGCGACGAAGACCTATGTGGAGCAGACTCTGGAGGAGCTCGAGGTTCAGCCACCTCCGGCCCCGTGGTGCGACGATCCGGAGGCGGTGTCGTTCTACGAGACGGTGGACGACTCTTTCGAGCTCCTCGAGGATGACGCTCAGACGTTCCTCACGGCCCTCGAGGAGCAGGATTTGGCGGAGGACGACCTGATGCCCGTGCTGGCCGCCATCATCGAGGAAAAGATTGGAAAGGAAAAACGCAGGTCCTGGACCGAGGCTCGCAAAATGAAGGCTACCCGCAAGGTTGATCGTGAATTCTTCGACCGTAGGCGCGCGTCCAAGCCCGGATACCGCCGCATCACCTCAGCCGACCTGAAAAAGAAGACGAGATGTGCCAACTGTGGTGAGCGCGGACACTGGGCAGAGGACTGCAGGAAGCCCTACAGATCGAAGCTGGACCGGATCAATAACGAGAAGAAGGGAGCCTCGTCCTCGGCCGCGACGAAAGGGTCCTCTCCTGGCTTCTTCTGCTACTCCAACGCCGACGGAGACCCCTCGTTCTTGACAGATGCTATGACGATGGAGCTCGAGTCGGAGGCCGACCTCGACAAGAGCCACTGCGACGGGTTCGTGGCCGTCCACGACCTGAAGCAGACCATCTCCTTCGTAGACGCGGGGATGACACAGCTGGGCCAGTACCCGTGCGACTCTGACGACTACGAGCTCGGGGCCGACCTCGACTCGATCATCGTCATCTCCGCCGGTGAAGCCGCTGAGTCATCTACGTGGGCGACCTTCAGCGTCGAACAGTGGGTAGGCCTGATTGGCCAGTTGGAGACACCGGAGGTTTCGCTCAGGAGTATGAGGGATCACGCATTGGTGGACACGGCAGCAGGCCAGGCCCTCATCGGAACCCCGGACGTGAAGAACCTCGTCGAGGCCTTTCGCAAGCGTGGCTACTTCGTGTTCGTCGACTGGACTCCGCTCGATGGTCGCAAGGCCTCAGGCATCGGCGGATTGGCCAAGACGGTGGGCAGGGCCTGGGTGCCATGTTCTTTGGCAGGATGCGGGTTCATCGAGTTTCTAGTCCTGGAAGGCCAGGTCCCGCCGATCCTGCCCGCCAAGTTTCTTGAGATGATCGAGGCCAACATTGATCTGAAGGCTGACGAGATGACCGTGACAGATTGCGGAGACAGAGTCGTGAGGCAGCTTTTCCGGATGCCGTCCGGGCATCGCTCGGTTTCTCTCATTCACTGCGCTCCCGAGTACTTCAGCATCCCCGAGGACATGAAGGCGAGCCTGCCCGCGGGCTGCCTGCCGCACCTCGTTCAGGACCGAAGGGGAGCGGGCAGTGAGGGCCGGGAGCAGCCTGTGCTTTCAGCTTTCCTCTCCTTTCTCTCTCGCTCTGGCTCTGTCTTGGGTTCCAGGGTCCGGGATCCGAAAGCCTCGGGGGTCCCGGGGAGCAGCGGGTCCGTAGCCTGTCCGGTTCAAGACGTCAGGGAGCTCAACCTGGCCTCGACCAGCCCGGAGGACAACGACGCAGGATCGGATGCCCGATCGCAAGAAGCCCGTCCTGAAGACCACGGGGGTCGGCAGCAAGCCGGGGACTCCGAGGCGCAGCAAGCTGCTGGGCTCCATCATCGAGAGCGACAGCGAGGTGTCCTCAGGACAGGAGTGGGAGCGGCTTCCGGAGACTCTCGAGGACACCCTGAGGGCCGAGGGGATGCAGGAGAGCGAGAAGGAGCTTTTCCAGGACGGCCGCATGCAGCTAGGGAAGTACGAGTATCGTTGGCGCAACTGGTACCTGCGCCTGGTCAGCATGACGTACATCCTGGGCCGGATGAAGCACCTCTGCCAGACGCTTCCGAAGACGTTCGTCGAGAGCTTCCCCGCCGACTCGTGTCCTCACCCGCCGTGGGCTCGCAAGTCGGGGAGCAACTCCACCAGCGTCTACGAGCACTGCCGGCAGTGCTCCCAGCGCCTCTTCTTGAGGGACAAGACGTCGGAGGAGATCTTCGAGGCCGAGAAGCGCAAGATCGACAAGCAGGCGGGCAAGGTCAACCGTGCGGACGCCAAGGCGAAGGCAGCTCGGATGGTGGAGGCGTACAAGAACAGCCATTTCCCGATCCTGCCACCGGATCCGTGGACGCCAGGACTGGAACCTCAGCGAGCTCGCCGCATCCAGGAGGGGAGCGGACCTACGGCGAAGGTGTCGGCGGCGGGGATCCCTCCGGTTCCCCAGAACCTTTACGTGCCGGTGAGCGAGGGGTACGTGCCCTACAAGCACCCCTCCCCGGCGCAGCTGGAGGCGGCCGAGCCGACGATGATCACCTCAGGAGGCCGGGCGATCGACTTCTCGGCGCAGAGGGCGGCGAGCCGAGCAGCCGGAGCCACGGCCAAACCACC